TAACTGTGTTAATATATTTGGATGTGGTCAACCAAAGGATCTTGGTTCACCAAACGAATCAAGAATATTTGATCCAAATGTGAAATGTATTTGTAAAAATCGAAAAAGAAGGCAGCAAAACAAAAACTCTACGACCCATAAATAGTAACAAGCCTTTTTTTTTATCCTCGATTGTTTTCTCTGATTTAAATATGACATTAGAAGGGTTTGCAGTGGTTTATTTAATGTTAACTTTGCATATACGAGTTATTGTGAGACAGAAATATTAAAGTACCCCATGAGTTACACTTAAAATCTGTCACAATTAAGTCCCTGAAGTTCATGTGAATTCAAAATGAAAAAAAAAGAGTAATCGAATGTATCGTGTACCGGAGAGACCATAAGATAGCTATTGTCCTTCTCTTCTTTTTTCATTTTTCTGTCCTTTTAATTTTAAAACGAGTAGATTTACAATAAACAATACGATATCTGAGAAGAGAGAGAAATTGTGTGCCTATTCAAGGGAAAATTTGAAATGACTCAGTGCTACTTCTGCTTCTACTGTGCCTCTCTGGTTAGATGGTAGCAAATCATACTTCCACATTCCACGTTCAATAAAGTCTTCAATTCTTCACTGTGATGGGTTGCAACTTAAATACGGTACCTAACCGTTTTCCTCAATTACAGAAATCTTGCGCTTCCGAGCTGTCAAATTTGCACAATGCATCATTTTGAGGTTAATTAGGTCTTGTTCATTTACCCAGCGATACTGAAATTTCTTCACATCCGCCGTAACAAAATCGTCGTAATCCAACAATGAGATAATCGACGTCCAACACAAACTAAAAGGTTTAATACCACGTTCGTCCACAGAAACCTTTTCATAATGTAACCACATGTGATCTCTTCTAAAATCCATTGGAATTTGTTCATTGTCTAGACGAAATATTAGGCAACACAAAACACCAATAAAATTATTGTCATGCGGAATGGGAGGTGGATCAACGGTTATGTTTTCTTTGTCCAGGTATTCTATGTCCACGTTCACAAACTCATTGTTGAACAAGCTCGGTATTTGACTTCCAGGTATAATACTTTCTGGGAATGGCCATTGGTAGGTCGTCTGGTGGTAGGTCGCGTGGTGGTAGTTCGCCTGGTACCAGCAGAGTTATTGGTCAGTAGTTGTTCTCCTAGAAAAAAGAAAAATTAAAAAGCAAGAAGAAGGAAACAGCATCCACACCTCAAGAATTTGAATTGCCCATGAAAAACTCTTTGTAGTGCACTGTTCAATCTCAACTAATTCTGGGCAGCCGAAAATGATTAATCCTGCAAATCTAATATCTGTATCTTTCTCAGTCAAAAAATCAGGCCAATCAAGTATTGAAGATGGGAATCTCGACAGCGTGAAAGGTTCTAAGGGCAAGACAGTTCGTGAAGGGAGATCAGGCAAGTATTTCAATCGCTTGCAATCCTGTAGGTTTAAAAAACGCAGTCTCAAAAGGTCCTTGATGTTAGGCAATTTAACAAAATTGTTTCCCTCTAAATTTAGCCTCTCTAAGCAACGTAACTTTCCAATGTAATCAGGAATTTGAACTAAGTTACAGAAGCTTAGATCGAGTTCACGCAAACAAGGGAAAAGAGAGGAGGGCGACAAACAGCTGATCAAGTGCTCTGTGTTCCTTGTTTCATCTAGTAAACAATTACTACCTATTATTGAACAACCACTGACATCCAGATATTTAAGAGAACTCAGGCCCAATATAGTATTGGATAAGATTACTACTTTTTTGCAGTCTCTCAAATTCAAATGAACAAGCTCTCTCAGACTCCCAATCGATGGATTGAGTTTTTGGAGCTTTACGCATCCTTCAAGATTTATCTCTTCAAGATTTAGGGCCTCTGCTACATCTGGCATCTCAACTAAACTTTCGCAAAAAGAGAGATCCAAACGCTTCAAATTGGGTAACGGCTACATAGATGGGCAAAAAAAGAAAACAAAATTAATAATGACACTTGGGTTTTCTTTAATTTCTTTTTTCCATAAATTAATCAAAGAATAAAGGAATTAAAAATAAAAAGTTTGTCATTTATTTTGTTTATTTTTAAAAGAAGTACAAATAAAAAATTAATTTACACTACCTTTGTGCCTTCCCACAGTCGTTTAATACTGCTCTGATACAGGCTTAACTCAACTAGTTTGTGTGGCTGAAAACTTTGAGGCAAACACTCAAACGGATATCTCTTCCAAATAAGATATCCTAGTTCATTCGAAAGATGACTGAGACTTCCCGAAAAGTTCACGTACCGAACAGAAAGCAATTTCAGGTGTTTAATTTTTGATAGACCATCCGCCTTGATTGTTTCATCTGTAAATCAGTTGCATCATTCCGTAAATTTAGAAGCAGTTTTGTAATTGTGGAATAGTCTATGATAATATTAGGCAGTTTCTCATTCAATAAAACACAGGAATTTCTTCTTTCACAATACAACCTTTACATACCTATAACATCGTCCCATTTAATAACTATTGCCTCAAGGTTTCGAGTTGCCTATAACATGGCACATTGTTAGATGTATGTTTTGAAGTATTTACAAATTCTAAAATAATTGCAATCTAAAATTTAATCAAACATTTAACTTGACCTCGTTCTCTGACATAGCATCATGGAGATCTTTGCGTGTCCACAACCTACTCCACTTTATAGGCTCTTTAGGTGATTCTTCCCTAACAATACACCTGCCCAAATCCACTAGCAACCTATGCATACGTATGAATCCCCAGGGATCTGTGGTAATGAGTGATTTATCTTTGAGCACTTGTATGCTATCTTCAG